ACGCCCCACGTTAATAATATTTTTTTCAGGTCACAGGGTCGGAGCTGAGGAGTGAGTTGGCGGTCAGTTCAGGATTTTTTTATATGTTTAAAATGTTTTGGCTACGCTACGTTCTCCACTGATCTCGACTGTTTGCCAAACGTAGCTTTTGATCCGATTTTCAGTCGGTTATTATGTTATAATAAACCATTTTTCTTTAAAACTAAAATAACGATTTTTCAGGTAAAGTCCACGTTACGGTAGCACTCCGAAACATGATTTGGCAAACTAATCAGTATTTTATTTAAAAGGTTTTGCGAAAATTAAACTTTGAGTTCATAACATAACGGGGTGTTACAGTTGGTATCAGAGCACGTTTCTGCGTCACTAAAAATTATTACGAGTCAGAAATTTTTCAAAAACTTGAACACGTCACGCTCATACCTCGTCGACTACAGGTAAGTGCTGATTCATGCTTTGAAATTATAAACAAATTACTATGTCTATGCTCAGAAAACTACAGGTATGACTTAGTTAAGATGCTCGAATCAAGATCAGGATCCATAGTCCAGTATATCCATGGTTTAATGCCAGTTTTCCCATGATTAATGTAAGCATTTCCCAGTCATGTTAAGCAACTCGTCAAGAGATTTATGCACTTTATTAATCAGCTAAATAATTTTCCATGTGTCTGATAATGTTGAACCTTTCCAATATTCAGATGCCGCCACATAGGGAGCCCGATCGTCCTGTTGTCCCCCAGGCCACAGTAGTCGCACAGTTTCGCGACTATCACCCCGAGAAATTCTCCGGCCAGGGAGATTCTCGAGTCGTGGACGAATGGGTTCAGGGCCTTGAAATGATTTTCGAGGTCATGGACTGTCCAGATCATTATCGCGTTTTATGAGCACAGCTTCAGTTGACGGGGGATGCACGACTCTGGTGGAATGCTTACTGGAGTATGCGTCCCGGTGAAAATGAAGGTTGTACTTGGGACAGGTTCAAGTAGTTGATTAGTGAGAAGTATTATCCCACGTACTACCGAGCAGAGATAGAGCGTCAATTCCTGGCGCTCAAACAGGGTACTCGTTCTGTTGATCAGTACGAGAGAGAATTCGCTTGACTCGGAGCCTTTGTTCCTGACCTGGTGAGTACAGAGGCAAAGAGGGCACAGCATTTCACTGACGGGCTTTTCCCAGCAGTCCGTCACAACATTGTAGGTCACAGAGTTCAGACCTACGCTCGTACCGTTTCTATCGCCCAGGAGGTTGACGCCAGCATTCGGAGGGAGGATCTTCTTCAGCCATTTGCCCCTGCCCAACCATCTACAGATCCACCAGTTCCACCAGCTGTTGCCCAACCACCGAAGGACAAGAAGAGGAAGGGAAAAGGCGCCCAGACTGACAGGAGGACCCGTCCGAGGCCACAGCAGATTCCACCATGCCCCACTTTTGGAAGACTCCATCGCGGAGAGTGTCGCGTTGGCCAGGTTATTTGCTATTATTGTCATGAGCCCGGACATTTTGCTAACCGCTGTCCAAAAAAACCCCAGCAGCCACCTTAGCAGCCCCAGCAGCAGCCCAGACAACAGGCTCAGAGGCCACCCCAACAACAGCAGAGGGGCAGACAGCAAGCTCGAGTTTAGGCGGTCGATTAGGCCGAGGCTGAACAACACCCAGGTACCATGTCTGAAATGCTTATGCTTAATGATGTTCCTGTTTTCGCCTTATTTGATACTGGAGCAACTCACTCTTTTATATCACGATGATGTCTTGATGCCATCGGAGTACATGCCATTACCGCTGTCGATCCTCTCGAGGTGAGTTTAGCCTCGGGACGAAAGATAGTGACTACTGCTAAAGCTACAGATCTCAGCCTTTCTATCGGTGGCCGTATATTGTCAACCGACGCTTATGTTCTCGAGATGACGGATTTTGACCTCATTCTCGGCATGGATTGGCTAATATATTTTCATGCAGATATCTGATGCCATGACCGGGAGATTACTCTTTATCTTCCGGGAGATGATCATATTACTTTCTTTAGCACCAAGACTCTTTCCTTGCCCCATGTTATTTCTATGGCGAAAGCCAAAAAGATGTTACGACGAGGCGACTGTCAGGGTTATCTTGTAATCCTTGTCGATGATTCACCGAAGGCACGAACACCTCACGACGTTCCTGTTGTTCGTGAGTTTATGGACGTGTTTCCAGACCAACTTCTAGGAGGACCACCTAACCGGAAGGTAGAGTTCTCTATTGACTTTATTCCAGGAGCCAGTCCAGTTTCCAAAGCACCTTATCGAATGGCGCCGAATGAATTGCAAGAGCTTAAGGCGCAAATTCAGGAATTGTTGAAACTCGGCTTCATTCGGCCGAGTGTGTCACCATGGGGAACACCCGTTCTCTTCGCTAAAAAGAAGGACGTCTCTATGCGCATGTGTATCGATTACCGGGATCTTAACTGGTTGACGATCAAGAATAAATATCCGCTTCCCAGCATTGACGATTTATTTGATCAGCTGAGGGGAGATTGTGTATTCTCCAAGATTGATTTACGATCAGGCTATCATCAGCTAAAAATCAAAGAGTCAGACATTCCAAAGACCACTTTTCGTACTCGGTACGGTCATTATGAGTTTGTAGTCATGCCATTTGGCCTCTGCAACGCTCCAGCAGTATTTATGGACCTGATGAACCGTATCTTCCATACTTATCTTGATCATTTTTTTATTGTTTTCATTAATGATATTCTTATCTACAAGAGCCAGAAGGAACACGAGGAACATCTGATAGTTGTCCTTGAAACCCTTAGACGAGAAAAGTTATATGCTGAATTCTCCAAATGCGAATTCTGGCTCCAGCGAGTAGCCTTTCTTGGCTATGTTATCACTCAAGCAGGTATCGAGGTTGATCCATCCAAGGTTGCCGCTGTTCAGAACTGGTCGACACCAAAGACTCCATCCGAGGTTCGCAGTTTTCTTGGTTTGGCTGGTTATTACCGCAGATTCATTGAGGGCTTTCCAAAGATTGCCCTTCCTTTATCCCAGCTGACGAAAAAGTCTGTGCAGTTCGAGTGTACTGATCAATGTGAATCGAGCTTTCAGGAGCTCAAGAAGAGGCTAACCACAGCATCGGTGTTGACTATTCCTGATCCTTCTCGGAGTTTCACCATTT